TTTTCATGCAGAACCTATATACTGATCAAGAAGTCACTTGAACAAGATACACTGCACGCTTTAAATCAGAAAAAGGAGGCATGAAGGTTGTTTATCCTTTTATCTTACCTATTCACTTACATGCTGAACAAATAATCTGAGACGTTGGACTATTTGAAGAAAAATGTTAACAGGAAAGGAGGGAGACTCATCAATAGACCGCAATATGCGAATGACAGACTTTGCCCGTGGAAAAAGACTGTTTGAATTAAGAAGGACAGAATCTAGCGCCTTCAGTATATGTTACACTTCTATAGAAGGAAAACTATTCACAACTGAATTGATAAGCAATTTTAAGAGAGAAAGAAGACTATACTTGTACAAGGAGTCATTTTACTTCAATCTATAATCAATAACCACAGAAGCAACAATCAAACAAATCAAGTATTACAACTAGTAAATCTGCTGTCAAGGACTTTATAAAGAGCAAAGATAGCACTTAACAAAGTGTGCTTGACCCAAGCCATCATATTATCAGCTGCTTCATATATATATATAAAATGAATTAAAAAGGAACAGGAACTGATACCTTTTTTATTTGTGGTATTGACATGGACCGGCAAATAAAAAAAAACCAACTGGTCTTGGAAGAAGTACAGCCAGCATGCTTTTTATAAAAAGGCTGGTGGGACTTTGGTCAGGAAGGGCCAGTCCCTGGAAAAGGAGGTCATGCTTGGGAAGGTAGAGATTCAGCAAAGGGAAGCGCCTCAAGGGCAGACCGACACCTGACCACAGCAATAGGCTCATGAATAGCATATCATGAGGATGCTGCCGGAGCTCACAGGGTCTATTCTGTCACACAAAGGATCAGCACAACGTGGAATCACCTCAATAGCACCCAGTAATAATCTCCACTTTTACTATCCACTACATTTCTTTCAAGTATTTCTTCATTGCTTAAGACTCTCAATCTATATGCACACCCATGTTTATTGCAGCTTTGTTCACAATAGCAAGGAGTTGGAAACAACCTAAGTGCCCATCAACAAACGAATGGCTAGAGAAGCTGTG